AAGCCCACAATCACACTCTAAAAACTGAAAACTCCTCTTTTGGGCCTTATTGGATAGGAAACCTTTCCTTTGGGCCTCCCTTTGACCAAAAACTCTTGAATTGGGCCAACAAAGATCAAAAACCACATTGGGCCATAGCGAACCCAAGAACCCACACCATAAGGACCGAAAACCTCATGAAGAGGTGTTTTCAGCCACCCTAAAAACCAAAAACCCTTCCTCTAAATAAAGAATTCAGTTGGAGTTTAAAAAAAAATGAAATGGTAAAAGTGGTGACACCTCATGACTTTGCATCCTTATATCTAGCAAACAACCATGCTTGACTCCTAATTAACTATCAAGTATCCATACTATGCATCAATGAGACCAACAAGTAATGACCAATACCATCTCTCCCCTCTAGTTAGAGGTTTCGGCCGAGAGTGGGTTGTCCCACTCTTGCCACTCCATTCCTACTTCAAACATTGTTTTCTCTCCCAAAAGTTCATTTAAATCCTTCATGCTAGACAACAACAAGTCGAGTTCTAGGACATTTGGTAAGCAATACTTGACTTTTGTTACTAGTTTGTCCTTTTTAGTTGTTAAGTTCTTCACATTTACACCTCCATTTTTGTGTGAATAATCCTTAGACCACTCGTATTTTCGAGAAGACCTCAAGCTTGTGCAAGGATAGGCTCAACAACTTCTTTCTTCTCCTTCCTACAATTCACGAAATCAACAAGGGGAGCTTTATACCCCCATGTTTTCGTGTTTTTCATACTTTTCGGGGGTTGGGGGGGGGGGATACAAGTCAAGCTTCGTTTACCCATTGGGTATTTGCATACACCAACATGTTTATGTAAAGATTTTGCTTATGATGTCGAATACCTCATTCTAAAACACCATAAAATCATGATTTACAAGCTTCATATATGCTAGAATAAGTTTATCCATTGGATATTTGCATGCGTCATAGTTATGTATTGAAAAATGGAACAAATCCTTAAGTAAAAAGGTTTTTTTTATCATATGTTAGTTATATAAAATTGTGACTTGTTAAAGTCGAACCAAAATAAAATATTTTGTGTTTCAAAAACTTTCAAAATAGTACAAAGGTGTTAACACAAACTACAAAGTTTGACATTTTTAGTAAAAATAATTTTTATTAGTAAAATAGTCGCAAACTTGTCATCACTATTTTTGAGTGGTTAAAACCCAATAATTTGTTGTTATGCTTACTACTAGACATAGTTGTTATTATTTTCATATATAAAGTTTATAACTAGTTTTCGCAAAAGAGATTATAAGCCAAACTGTTGATAGAAAATTTTGTGCGTCACAGAAAACATGTCATAAAACGTGTAATATGAAACTGCTAAAAAACACGTGTGCTAAACTGCATGTTATGAAACCTGTAAAATGCGTGTCATAAAACTCCTATCATGAATTTTACACTATTGAAGTCATTCTATTATATACTAAAAAGGGAGTCGAAGTTCATGTAAATCCGTTAATGCTCTAGTGAGACACTATCTTCACTGTACCACCTAGCATACACTCTAAGTCCTGTAATTATAACCAGAGTCTCCTGGAGGGAGAGCGAGATAATTGTGTATAGATCTATACGGGGATTGACAGCCCCACACCTGAGCTGTTCGCTACAGCTAGATGGGGCCAGTCTAGGGTGACAACTGTCTTACCTATTTCCGACGCCTGAAGAACGTTGCAACAGACATGTAGTCATGTTAAACATGGTTATAATGACTCACATAGGGATTAACAACACTATTTTGGTTTATGGGAAACTTACACTCCACTGGTTTTATAAATTATAAAACTACATACTATTTTTCAGTACACTATTATCACTATATCGGTCTTAGGGTTTTAAGACTATGTTTTTTCATACATCAGAAAATATTGGATTTTCTGGGAAAATACAAAGAAACATACATGCATACATTTTCTATTTTTGGTATAAGACATATAATTCACTAATGTAGAAAATATATTAGATTTTCTAGAAACATACAATACTTTTTGAACAAATCAGATACAAACCGTTTCCATACAAAAATGCTTATGAACTCACCAACATTCATTGTTGACGATTTTCAAAATGACTTGTATTCTCAGGTTACCAATAAGCAGGTACTTAAGTCATTGGGAACTGAATTTTGTTGCACTTTGGAATTGTTACTTTTCAGTTAATGTTGTGTAAACTTTGAGCAAATACACTATGTAAACAATGTAAGTTTGTATCTCTTAATGTATGTTGTGTGGGTTGCTAAGTCCAATTATATTCAATTGTTATGATACTATACAATGACGTCATACGGTCCTGAACGTTTCAGCCGTCCTGTTTCGGGGTGTGACAGAAGAGGAGGGATCGGTTTTTGTGTAGTCACAATCGACGGACAAGCAGTTCAAGCCTGCTGACTCGAGATCAGGATCATTAGAGCATGGGAGTTCCGGGTGTGGTAAGTGTGGAAAGTTTCATTATAGGGTGTATCAATCGTTTGTATGCCGTAAATGTGGCGAGGAGGGATGTTTCAGCAAAGATTGCATGCACAATGCATGTTTTTGTTTCTATTGCAAGCAAGTGGGCCACATCAAGGCTAATTGTCTCTTTCTCGTGGCCAGTGCAGTGCAGGATCCTGTACCGTTGGCTTGGCAGTTGCCAGATGGGCGTTAGGGGAGTGTCAAGGTGCCTAGGGTTGAGGAGAAATCCAACCAGTTTGTTGCAGAGGATTAGAGAGCAACAACTATGATGAGTATATGTATGTTTCGATTTATCTTATGTTGTGTTTATGATTTGAATTTTCTTTTTGAAGTACTTATTCAAGTTGATTGTTGTCTCATGCATGCGTTTCATTAAAGGTGCTTTAGGTCTTGGTAGACTGTAAGATGGGTTGACATAGACTCATAACTTTCAACTTGGTCTCTCTATCTGTTCTTGTTTGATAAAGGTTTCGGGGTCAAGCTGGAAGGTTTGAAGGATTATATTATCCCAATTTTGTTTATTTCTTAGGGGTAGGGTTTGGTTGATTTTCGTTTTGTTCAGTTCGAGAGGTTTAGTTTCATGTCAGCTACATTGTTTGCATACTCTAAGTGAGGGAGTATAGAGACTTCGTGATGGAAGATTTCGACTAGATTCCAATCATCAATATGAATGCTCAAGATAAGGAAGTTCGTGCGTGGTTGCTTGATCTCAAAAGTTGTGTGTCGGGTTCATCATCTAAGCATAGGGTTCTATTCATGTGATCTCAGTCGGGAGTCACATAGTTAGTTATGTAGGGCTATGTAGTGTTAGCATTCTAGAATGTTAGGTAGCTCAGGTCGAGGTTTGTGATGATAGTTTACTTGTCTGTTCTTGTTTGATTGGGACCTGGAAGTCCGAGTCACTACCCAAAGGCTTGATGGACAAGGACCGACACCAGACCGGTACCGATTGTACACTACATGTTTTGATTCCTACTTCCTTAAATCTTACTAAACCTATATGTTTTTAGTGTGTAATTGAGTTTAGGCTGTAATTTCATCAATTTTTATTCCATATTGAATGAGTTACAATTCCCTAATGTCGTAGTATCAAAGTTGAAAGTTTTGTTAGCTTTTCAGCTTTTTATGTGTAATATGGGAAAATTTTAAAACATGTAATCTCATTCGTTTAAAGTTGGATTGACAGAACATTGTTTTTAACATTAGTTCTCTACTTTGTAATTGAGCTTAGGCTGGATTCATCAGATGTTGTTTTCATATTCAAGGAGTTATAGTCCTCCAAAGTTGGATATACAAGCTAAAAGATTTTAGCTTTTCAACTTTAATTTGTAATCTATGAAAATTTTAAAAGATGCATGTTTAATTCGTTTGAAATCGAATTGACATGATATATTTTTCATCATGCAGTTTAGATTCTGTACTTTAGCTTAGGTTGTAATTATATCATTTTTGGTTCAATATTGAATGAGTTACAATCACATAGATTCGAGATATCAAAACTGAAAGTTTTTCTCTAGTACTTCAACGACTTGTACCATACACAATAAATGTTGTACCGGCCCAACGGGTCCAAAAACTGGAAAACTGATACGACATTGATATGTGTCACAAGGTCCGGTCCACTGTCCACATAATCTCTAAAACCGATCCTGTACTAGAACCGGTTCGAGTAATGCTCACCCTTAAATCTTGGCATTGGATTTGAAATTTAAATAAACAAGCTAGGAGATTATAGACTATAATTCCAATACTTATACGAGGTGAATTACAAAGAGAACAACTAGGTAATGATCAATATGCAACCCTTTTATTAAGAGGGTTAACGAGTACGAATTATTTACGGTAAATGAATAGAAAAATAAGATCCAAACATTTATAATTTTTACCGATTTGGATTGGATCCATCATCAAAACCCGCACCATTGTTTGGTATACCAATATAAGATATATTAAAGGTGCGTATCTTCAAAATATCTCGGTATCTAACAATCATGAACTACAAAAATATAATCCAAATTGTCTAATATTGTTTTTGTTTTTAGCGAATTTTATATGAAGGGACCGGACCCTTTTTATAGTTTATACATTTTATAGTAGATATGCCTTTCTTGTGATACCACATTAACACCCCCTTTGAATTTTATTATAAAAAAGTAATGAGAAAAGTCAAAAATATTAGGTAGTAATGAATGAGCCATAGAAGGAGTATTCATGGTGATATTTGAGACATGAGGGCTGCATACACGAATCTGGTCAAATACCAAAGTCCATCTGATCCGAGTTTTCAGACAAACGAAACCCTCACCCTTCAAACCCTCTTTGTCATTTGCCAATTTGTCATCATCTATTTTGGATTATTGATGCTTCACAAATTCCCCTGATTTTTGAAGTCTGTCTAACATACTGACAGTTGACCTAATTTCTAATCGCACAAGTTAAACCCCACAACCATTTCCATTATATAACCCTTTCTGAGTTCTGATTTCCGATCCATAAGTCTTCACAGAAATCGGAAAGCAATGGGCAACTCCTTTGGCTGCTCCGCTTCGGGAGAAAGGTTGGTGTCGGCGGCTAGAGATGGGGATTTCGTCGAGGCTAAGATGTTGCTTGATTGTAACCCTTGTCTCGCTAAATACTCAACCTTTGGAGGCCTTAATTCTCCTCTTCATTTCGCCGCCGCAAAAGGCCACAACGACGTACAATTAGATTCTCTCTTCCTCTTTCCATTCCCTTTTTCATTTTTGATCCGTTGTTTGTTTGCTTGTCTGTAATTCTTACAGGTTTTGCCTCTTTTTAATTTGTAGATTGTTGCATTGTTGCTTGATAACGGAGCTGATGTTAATTCTAGGAATTATTGTGGCCAGGTAACAACCTTGATTTCGATCCATATTTTACTCTAGTTATATTTTGTATGCACATAACTTACATAAAGGGACACCATTAACGCGATCTTTCAGAAGATCAGCTCAATTTCGTGTTTGCTAGTGTATTTGACGATTCCAACAAAAAAAAATGTTAAGATTGTTTCTCACTGGACCTTTTGTATGCAAATTTAAGCTGGTTTAGTTCAAAACGACCCAATTTTGCTTCCAAGTCGTTGAATTCAAGGTCTTAAACCCTAAATGTAAATTGTAGGAACCATTGCTGTCCGATAAGTTAATTTTGATATCAATTTTGATTAATTTGTTTTGTATTTGTGTAATCTGAAGACTGCCTTGATGCAAGCTTGTCGCTATGGCCACTGGGAAGTTGTTCAAACCCTTCTTCTCTTTAGATGCAATGTAAGTGACTTAATTCTATAGATCCAAAGTTCATAATCTTACATATTTGATTGTGTTTGTAATTCATGCATTATATTAATCTATTTAGGTCACAAGGGCCGATTATCTTAGTGGGAGAACAGCTCTCCATTTTGCAGCTGTGAATGGACATGTACGTTGCATAAGACTTGTTGTAGCTGATTTTGTCCCCAGTGCTCCCTTTGAATCTATAGATACACAACCAAACAGTGATGCAGCTCCCAAAAACAAATATGATCAAAGGTTATACATTTTCCTATCTGTATTCATGAACACCTGAGTTTCAATCAGTGATTAAATAGTGTAATCTTTTTGTCATGTTGTAGTGCACTTGTGAAATTTGTAAATAAAGCAGCTGATGGTGGTATAACAGCTCTTCACATGGCTGCATTAAATGGTTATGCTGATTGTGTGCAGCTGCTTCTTGATCTACATGCAAATCTCTCATCTGTGACTTTCCATTATGGAACATCAATGGATTTGATAGGTAATAAAAACACTTCTTCAAGATCTTAAATAATTCTTATCCTTTCCATTTGTACCCTTTTCTTACATTGTCCTACAGGAGCTGGAAGCACTCCTTTGCATTATGCTGCTTGTGGTGGAAACTTAAAATGTTGTCAGGTAAACATACATTTATAATCTTGATGACATATTTCTAAAAATAGTATGTTTATTCATATCTCTGAAATGTTTCAGATTCTACTCGCAAGAGGTGCAAGTCGTTTGACACTAAACTGCAACGGGTACTTTTGTCATTTTCTTGTTTTTAACGCTTTTTACTATTCTTTTTTTTTTTTTTTTTTTTTTAAATTGAATATGTTGATGGAAAATCTTTATGCTATTTAATTCAGATGGCTTCCTCTTGATGTTGCAAGAATGTGGGGCCGACATTGGCTCGAACCATTACTAGCACCAAATTCTGACCTGGCAATTCCCATTTTCCCTCCATCTAATTATCTATCTTTACCTCTCATGAGTGTACTTAACATAGCTAGGTATTCTAATTACTTAATTACTCAATTTAATTACATACAAAAAATATATTTCAAGAATTAAAAATGGTAACAATTTTTGCAGAGAATGTGGTTTGCAATCCTCATCAACTCTCTCTGATGACACCGACATTTGTGCTGTTTGTTTGGAAAGATCTTGCACAGTAGCTGCTGAAGGTTTTTTTTTTTACTTTTTTGAAGTTTTTGTATTTCAAGATTCGAACAGTTATTTATTATTATTAATTTTTTTTTTCAGGTTGTAGGCATGAATTATGTGTGAGATGTGCGCTTTACCTTTGTTCAACAAGCAATAACCCATCTGAACAACTGGGCCCACCGGGGTCGATTCCGTGTCCACTGTGTCGGCATGGGATTATTTCATTTTCTCGGTTACCGGGGTCTCCATCAAAGGGGATGAAACTTCATCTTTCATTAGGGTTTTGTACTCCATGCATGCTTCATCCACGAGAACCGGACGAAAATACCCCTGAGATTAGCAAGAACCGCGTTGCTTCTGTTTCACCGGAATTGTTCTGTCCGGTTACTTGCAGCCCGTTTCCTTCGGTTGCGATTCCGTTGTGTACGTGTAATGAAGGGACATGTCCGTCTTCCGAGACGAGAGATGACGTGGCGGGGAATGGGTCGCCACCTCAGCGGACAAATTCAGGTGAGGAAGGGAAGTTGGGCCCACTGAGGGTGGAGAAGACTAGCTGTTCGAGTATGTTTTGGGGGAGGAGGAGTTGCAGTAGGGAGCAACAGTGTAATTCGGAGATTAATGCTTGAATTTATTGATGGTTGGATTTGGATTTGGATTTTGATTTTGAGATGGGGGAATGGATGCTATTGTGAAAGCAATAATGGTGGTTTTGCTGGAATAGTTTGTGAAATGTGGGATTAGGTATTATGATATATGTTTTGATGTTAGGGGAGAAAAAGGGTTGTAAAAAAGATTATTGTTGGTTGGCGTATATTGTTATTGTGGTGATTGTTCAAATTGGTTAGAGTTGATCTAACATAGATTGGTGGTGTTTGAAGCTTTAACTTGCGAGTGATATCCATTGTTGCATTTGATATGTAGTTAGCAAAAAACTTCAACACTGAAACCGGTCCTGAAAAAAAAACTGGGCTAAAAACAGTGTTGAAATTAGCTATAAACCAAATCCGGTTTTAGACTAAAATGACCAAAATATGATTTTCGACTTAAATGATTATCCTAGTTACAAAATGTAATCATTTCGTTATCCAAGTCATTGAACTTCCAAATTTGTCACTAACTAAGTAGCTACTTCAACCGGTTTTCGGTTGCAAATTGCCACGTGGCCTTTATATGGCATATAAGTGTTTTTGTTGGAATAAGGGTTTAAAGTCATATTAAATTGGTCAAAAAAAATTAAATTGGTATAATTTTATGGAATAGAAATTAAATGTTTTTTTTTTTTTTTTTTTGTTGTCTTAAGAGTTAAAAATGATATAGAATGATATTTGGAGAAAAAGAAAATAAATTATAAGCGGTGAATAATAAATTAACTAGAAATTATAAAAATTAATTAAGAATTAATCAGAATTAATTTAGAATTAATTTTTTTGTTAATTGAAATTAATTAAAGATGTAAGGGATGGATCGTAATTATTTAATAGTTGAACAAAAGAGACAATTCTAAAAAGGTCTATGATATCGATGGTTTTTGGAGCCTCTTTAGGATTTTCCGAAGCCTTCTGGTGGCAAATAAGAAAATGATTTTAATTGAGATTAAATCTGTTATTTAATTATTCAAATATAGATTCATCTGCAGGTTACCTAGACTATAAATAAGACCCTTGGGAACCAAGGTTTCGCGGCTTCTCATACCTAGAAGGTAGAGAACGAAAAGGCCCTCGTCTCTCCTCTTTCCCATTCATTCTAGGGTTTCTAGGGGGTTAGGTGTCAGCCATTAGAGGCAGCCATATTTTTGGCATTAGCTTTCTGAAGATCAACAAGGGAATCAAGGATATTGTTTGCTATAACAATATCAATGGTATGTAACCTAACTTGTAAATTTCAATTATAGCATAGGGTCTTGTAGTTTCATAATATGTTGCTATTAATGTCTAAAGACATAGATCCTTTAGGTTGCATGTACCCTTAAGTGTTTTAAGTGATTTTTACGCATGTACATTGAACTTGTAACCTACAAATTCCATGAGTGGTATCAGAGCTTAGTCTTACAATTAAAAGTGCATAATAGATGAATAACGTGTTTGACATGGAGCTTTTGAAAGCGTTTGAGAGCTTCTAGCTTTTATCTTTTTTTTTTTTTTTTTTTTTTTAAAAAAAAAATGCTCTAGTTTAAACAAAAAGCTTGGTTTGGTAGTACGGACGTTTAACTTTTAGTTTAAACAAAACGCTCCAAATCTAAAAGCTACCTCATGTAGCATTTAACAAAACGCTATCGAGCTTTTGTAATCAATTTCTATAATTGACCTTAAAAATATATTTACATATATTTTTTTAAACAATTGTCCTTTTATGTAATTTTACATATTTCAAAAGCTTCCAACTATTTTTGACAAACATTCATATAGCAAATAAAATCTACAATTTCCAATTATTAACTACCCGCTACCAGCTACATGCTATAAGGTACCTGCTACCCGCTTCCTGCTTCCAGCTAACAACTACGTTTTATTGGAGGATATTTGAGTAGGTTGATGGTGGAGAACCGAATTTCTCTTGGATCGTGTAACTTCACTTTCTGAACTGATATTTCCACCCTCTGTCTGAGTTACAGAAAATCCAGTTTAGGATAATCCAAAAAGACACTTGTGTATCTAGACACATAGACACAAGCCAAATCGTCAGTAGGTTCTAAGTTCGTATAGAAGAAGAAGACCTGAGAAAAGTTCTATCTGTGGCTCAATAGAAGAGTCGTATTTATATTTGACAGATTATGGTAAATCTTCTAAATTAGTTATACAAATATCGAAATTAATGACATAATTAATGGTTATCAAAACTGACGTGATTTGCCAATTTTACCATAATTACCCACTAGAATTCGGATTTTCCATAATGTAACCAATTCAAATTTTCGAAGACCTTTTGGGGTGTTGCCTCGAACCTTACGTTTATGTCGTACCGGATTATATTTCGATCGTATATATGCATGCAATACGCATTCATCAAACATATAATATAGAGTACCAACGATAAGCCCCTTAGCTCACATGTAGTTCCAATTACATAAAATGCTAGGTGACACTAAAATCACCAACAATCCTCCTCTATTTTAGTGTAACCCATGAACTAACATAAAATTGTCTAAACAAACCAAATCAGTACATAAATGAAAATATCGAAACGCTTGAATTCCCATTTTAGTATCAAATAATTCAAATACTCAAGAATCAGGGTGTTCTAAGAATTAAACACTTCAACCCAACTGAATACCTAAAAGTAAAATACATACTAGTTTATTAAACATTCTAGTGAAATATAACTTGACACTATTATAAAGATGTGTGTCCTAATCCTCTCATGATTGTATCAAGGCTAGGGATGAACATGAGATGGAACCGGTACCGACCCGTATCATTCCCTATTTCCCCAAAACCAAATTTGATCAAAATTCAATCCTTAGTACTGAACCGAATTAACATCATTGGTATTGGTATCAGGAATGGTACCCGTTTTCGGTACTAGCACTGGTACCCGCGGTATTGAATCCTGAATTTCATGTATTTGGAGTACCGTGTACCATCCCATATTTTTAAATTCGGTACAATTCGGTACCGATTCCGGTATGGTACTGGTACAGGTTCGGGATTAGGGACAAACTGCTCATCCCTAATCAAGGCCAAGTCCCCAACCTCTTAAAATGCAACCAGACTTCAAAATCACATAGATAATTCATTTACTTCAGGTTTCTGCTTATACATTTTATCGAAGGAATTATTTAGAAGTTAAAGTTCAGCCTGACTAACTTGTAGAATCGAACACATACCTGAGATGTATACTTCATGTGTTCCAATGTATAAGTGTGAGCTTTCCACATTGAATTCAACTCCTAATATCATATTATAAGGGAATTATGGGTCTCACCATTATAGAATTAAATGGACTCTAATCCCATCCCTATAGCAGATCTGTTCACTAAGTCTTTTGTCAGACCTTTAGTCAAGTGATATGCAAAATTTTGTTGTGATTTCGCAAACTCTACCAAAATCACACCATTCATGATTAGTTCTTTAATCATACTATGTCTAAAACATAAGTGTGTAGATTTTCCATTATAAACCTAGTTGTAAACCTTAGCCAAAGCGGTTGCATTATCACAAAGGATATATATAGGTGCTTTGACTACAAAGGAATCTCATAGACTAAATTTCTCAACCATTCTACTTCTTTACCAGCAGCAACTAACACAACAAACTCATATTCAATTGTTGAGTTTGTAATGGAATATTTCTTCTTAGAATCCCAAGAAATGGCACCACCCACAAGAAAAAAAAATACCCAACCAGTTGTTGAGGAATGGTCCTCCGTGTTGGTTATTCAACTTGCATCCGAAGACCTTCTAAGACTGAAGGACTTCCAAAGTAACTCAATCCATAATCCATGGTTCCCTTGAGATAATTAACACTCTATTAACCGCTTGCTAATGTTGAGCACTAGGATTACTAATGTACTTGCTCACCTTTCCCACTGCATAAACAATATCTAACCTGGTACTTATCGTTGCATACATCATACTACCAATAGCATTTGAATATTCTAATTGTAAAATAGGAATGCCATTGCTATGCATTAATTGTACACTTGAATCCATGAGAGTACTCATAGGAGAACAATCACTAAAATCAAATCGTTGATAATTTTCTTAACATAGTGACTTTGAGTCATCACCAACCATTTTTTCACCTTTTAATTCTTATACCAAGAATTACATCTGCATCTCCCAAATCTTTCATTGAAAACTTAGATGATACCATTTTTTTTTTATTTACTTGTTCTTGGTTAGTACCAAAAATCAACACATCATCTACATATAAGCAAATGATCACTCTTGCACCTGTAGCATCATTGAATGCACTATAAACATATTTGTCACATTAGTTTAACTTAAAATTAGAAGATAAAATAACCTCGTCAACTTTTGATGCCATTATTTGGGTGCTTGTTTCAACCTATACAAATATTATACCAGTTTCAACCTATACAAATAGTAATATTTTTTCTTATATAAGAATTTTAAAGATTTGGGATTAAAGCCCACTCAACCGAAAACCCCTTTTCTAGAATGAAGCTTTGCCGAAAACCCTTTACCATTTGACTTTGACCGAAAACTCTTGCTTTTTAAATGTCTTGACTGCAAACTCTTTTCCCTTTGACTTTAAGACCATAAACACTTCCTTTATGGAAGTGTCGGACTGAAAACCCAAAGGTTTAGGCCCATTAGGACCAAAAACCATCCCTATATATGTGTGTTTAGCCGTGAACTCAATTCATTTCTCAATTTCTCAATCGTAAACACTCCCATTTTGCTCTCAAAAGTTATCAGAATCCTCTTAAGTATCATACGAAATCTTCAAATCTTCAACCGAAATCCTTCAAATCTTCCTAAGATCCTCAAGAACATCCATCACATCTTCAACTCTTCATAATTTCACCAAGAATACACCGACCCCCCCCCCCCCCCCCAACATAACGAAAACACTTAGCAACATTTCAAATAATTCCAAATAATATTTGTAAGTATTTCTTACATAATTAAGTGTTGTCTAACATTTTATTTATTATTTAATTTATTATATATTATTTAAATTAATATCTTATTAATTTAAATACGATATCTTGTATAATTATTATTAGGACATGACTACGCATGCGAGTTCTAACCCGAGGATCGTCTCTACAGTTTCGCTATCCAAACACGAAATTACATTCGAGGTCAGTTCATACCCCTATGTTTTCACTATTTTTCAATGTTTTTTTTGGTGGGGGGGGGGGATACAAGTAAAACACAAGGACTCTTGTGTTAATATTCAAGCAATTTCAAACCGTTTCCAAACCATTTGCAATTGTTTCAAACCGATTTATCGCTGCATTTTATCAAAATATATTTATATATATACTTTTAACCCTTTTGTAACATGTCAAGCAAAAGGGTATTTTTTTTCACGAATCTCTTACTACCGTTTTATACA